GTGGAGACCATTCTGACTCACAGCGCCCCTAGAGGACAGAGTGGAACTGCACCAGAGGGTTTCCAAGGCTGTCTGTCTTTATGGAAGCAGATTACCTCATCTTTCTCCTGTGGAGCAGCTGGTGGATTTGAACTGACCTTTTGGTTACCAGCCAAGTGCTTAAGCACTCCCACCAGGGTTCCTTAAAGGGCCCATACCTGAAAAACCCACTGCCATTGAGTTGATTCTGTCTTATAGTGACCCTATAAGACACAGTGGAACTGCCCCAGAAGGTTTTCAAGGCTGTCAATCTTCACAGAAACAAAGCCCCAACCACACCCACTGCCATGGAGTCGATTCTGACTCATAGTGACCCCTGGGTTTCCCTAAATCTTTAGGGAAGTAGATTACCCCATCTTCCTTCCGTGGAACAGCTGGTGGGTTTGAACCTGCAACCTTCTGGTTAGCAGTCAAATGCCTCAGGCGCTGTGCCACCAGTATTACATTAATCCGGAAGTGGCTGTGCTGATTTTCGTGGCCCGGTCACACTGGGAAGACCGCAAGCAGGACCCTCTCCACCAGGTGTCCCAGCCCTGTGGGCTCTCACACCCTGCTTCCTCTCCCGTTTTCTGAGCATCTGTCTTCTCGCCAACTGTGGGTTTGAGTCCCACGCAGTGCACCCTCCCTGGAGGAGCCCAAGAAAACTGGCTGATGGCACGTGCCCGGCTGCTGTCAATCCAGTTCCTGGAAATGTCACTGACTGGGTGTGCCCTGTTCCAATCCTTTCTTATAAGTTTTGTCAGCTTGGCTGAGCAGCTGGGGAGAAATAGCAGCAGAAGGGGGCCCCTCAATCAAGCCAGTGATTCTGCCACCCTCCCAGACTTGTGAATCCTCTATAGGAATTAGGCTGGTGACAGCCACCTACCTCTCCACCCACGCCATGGTTTAAACCAGGTGCACGTTGACGGGGGAGGCTACGGGCCATTTTGCTCCCAGTCACTCAGTGTTTCTCAGTGGGCATCACTTCTGTTAGTCAGGAATCTTAGTGCTTGTGAGGCAAGAAGGCCAGCTGGGTTCTGGGACATTTTCCTGGTGGCCGGGCTGGAGAAGGATGGGGCTGTAGTTGGAGAAGTGTCCCCTTTGCTGGTGTGGACTCAGGACCGCTCACAGTTCAGCTGGGCTGTGCGGGCCTCCTTCCTAGGGTGTCTGTCAGCTAGTAAGAGGGCCGCAGAGCCCCTGCCTAGAGTCTGGGGGTTCAGGGGAGAATGGAAAAAAGCCCTGGAAAGAGGGCTGGCTCGGGGGGGTGGCCCCCAGGTACAGCATCTACACACGCACATGTCAGCTCCTGGGTGTGGCAAACACTTTTGCCCCTCACCTGTGAATCTAAACGTTGGAAGAACTAGATGGCATCAGGCTGCCACTGTCCACCACTCAGAAAGGGATCAGAATCGCAGCTCCTGGACAGAGTGGGAGAAAAATGTGCAACAAAACTCCAAGTCGTTAAAAAGACCAGCCTTGGATCCCCAAGACTGTGAGCGCTGGTCACCCTTAAGGCCTCGAACTGAACTCACCCTCGTGGGTCAACGTTCAGCCAAACAACAGACAGGCCTACGAGGTGAACAGGTACACCGGGGAGGTACATGCCTTAAGAGAGACGGACCCTGGGAGATCAGAAGGGCAGCATTTGAAATAAGTAAAAGTGGGCAGTTCACACCCGCTAGGCGGTGGCTTGGTAATCTGATTTTATAAAGAGGCCAGCCGACAAAACCCCAGGGAGCCGCTCTGCTCTGTAACCCACGGGGTCACCGTGAATCGGGCCTGACTTGACAGCAGTGGGCTGGGGTTCGGGCTACCTCTCCGGTTTCCTGTTTTGTGCAGCCTGGTAGACGGGGACAAGGGAAGGCGGGCAGAGCTCAGCTCCCAGCTCCCAGGCCTGGCAGTGTTCACCCAGCAGGTGGGGCTCCGCCTCGCCCACAGCTGGCCCCCCTGGCAGGGGGCTCCGTGTACACGGCATCCCTTCTTCACAGTCTCCCTTCGAGGAAGTTTCGGGAAGGGAAACTGAGGCTCGGAGCCAGGACCGGGTGCCAGGCTGCCCGCCTCCTCCTCCTGGCAGTCGGCAGCTGCGTGGCTTCTGCTGGCAGCAGGCCCTCCCCAAAGACCCCGTGGGCTCAGACAGGGTCTGCTTGTCGGCTCGGGTACAGCGACCCCCCGGCATCCTCAGCACAGGCCTGGGAGCTAGGGCTGAGAGGGGGAGTCAGTGAGCCAGTCCCTCTCCCTCCTACAGTGAGTCCCTGTGGCCCATCGAGGCCCGAAATGCCGCCATCGCCAACCACTGCTTCACCTGTGCTATCAACCGCGTCGGCCAGGTGAGACCCCGCGGCCAGGCAGGGCTCCTGGGCGAACCAGCTGTGCGGGGGGCGGCTGCTCTGTCCTGTTCTGACCGGCAGATGGGTCCATCTGTTGTCCCCGGTTCCCTTCTCTGAGTGAGGCCACAAGTCCTAGGGTCCCAGCAGGGGAACTGGCTGGGCCTGTGCCTTTACTAAAGGGCAAATCCTGCTGTTTTTATTTTTTTAATATTTTATTTTTAATTGTGATTTGGGTGAAAGTTGACAGAGCAAATTCATTTTGCATACAGCAGTTCACGCACAGTTTTATCTCATGACATTGACTGCAATTCCCCACCGTGTAACAACAGCTCTTTTCCCACTTCCTCCCTGGAGTTACTTCTTTCCTGTGCCCTTCCCTCCCATGCAATCCCACCCTACTGCCAGACTGTCCCCCTGTGCAAACACTGTCCCTCTGATCTCCCACGACAGATCTCACCCTTGTTGCCAGCTGCTGCATGAACCCACTCGGAGATGGGGCTTGGATTGACCCTGCGGTCCCACTCGCCCCCCTGTGCACCCTCAGTACCACTGTCTCTTACTCCCACCACCCAGAGCTTTGGGCACAGCTCACAAGTCAAGAGGCCACCGCCCTTTGTCCAGGGAGACAGCTCGGGGGCCAGGAGTGCATGGGAGGGAAGGCCACAGGGAAGAGGTAACCACAGGGAGGAAGTGGGAAGAGAGCTGTTACAGGGTGGGGATTGCAGTCAATGTCATGAGACAAAAGTTGTATGAACTGAATTTGCTCCGTGAACTTGCACCCAAATCCAATAAAAATTTAAAAAGGGGGGGGGAGGGGAAGGGGTGGTCCTTCAGACTGCCAAACAGGCAGATGCCAGTTTGGCTGCAAGTTTGGGGCGTGCAGATGACACCCCCGCCTTCTGCCCCGCTGGCAGCCCAAGTGGTGAGTTCAGGTCCAGGCCTGCGCAGTGTCTGAGGGCCACGGTCTCGGGGTGCTGGCAGTCGGCCAGGGTACTGGCGGTGAAGGACGTAGTTAGTACCCCCTGTAGGCTTCCTGGCGCCCCGTGTGTGTCAGGGTGGCGTGTGCTCCCTGCGGGTGGTGGTCGTGGCAGATTTTTCAGAAGTAGACCCCAGGCCTGTCTCCCGCAGCACCCTGGGTGGACTTGAACCCTTAGTTTTCGGTGAGCGGCCGAGCGAGGACACCCCTGGGGCTCCGCGGCCTCTCTCACCTCAGTTCTCTGTAACAGGAGCACTTCCCGAATGAGTTCACCTCTGGAGACGGGAAGAAAGGTACGGGAGTGTGTGTGTGTGTGTGTGTGTGTGTGTGTGTGCACGCGCGCGTGCGCGGGGATGGGCTGAGGAGGGGGCCTTTGGGGCCTCGCGCATGTTCCCGTCCCCCGGCTGCGTCCTCTGGGCAGGGCCTGCCCCCCTGGCACACATGAGGTGGGCCCTCCATGCCCAGGGACTTCCGGCACCCAGGTGCCGCTGGCTGTGGCCTGCAGCGGAGGGCCCGGCGGCGGGAGGGAGGGTGGAGTGTCCGGACCAGCTCCTCCCAGTGCGGAGCTTGGACGCTATCCCACCCCGAGGACTGGGGTGACGCTGGGCCCCGGTGCTGTGGGAGGGTCCTTGATGGGCTCTCTTCCGGCCTGCGGTGGTTCTTGGGTCTCGCTCCTTCCTGGCCCCTGCCCCGTCCCCACCGCGATGCACACGCCCAGGGGATCGCCAGCCTTCCTGGCTTGCCCTGATCTGAGGTGGGCACTGCCTCACCTCTGCTGGCTAGCTCCACCCCCTTGTCTCTGGCCACAGGTGCTGGGGTGCAGGTAGGGGGGCTGCCCGGAACGAAGATGCAGGCACCAGAAGTCTGAGAGGGGCCCAGCCTTTCCCAAAAGGGTGCTGCCCGCAGTGCACCCCACGTGTGTCCAGCCTCCTGTCCCAGTGAGCTTCCAGCAGAAGGAACGCGGGGAAGGAGGGAATGCTGTATCTGCCCTCAGGGCCCCCTCGTGGTTCTCACCTGCCGGCTGGTGGCTAGTGCCCAAGCCACGGTCTCCTGTCCAGTTCTTTGTCTTCCTGGGTCGCTCAGACTCACTGCCAGGGTCTCTGCTGAGGGGTGGGGGTTCCCCCGGCACGTGGAACACAGCAGCCAGCTCCCCTCTGGGGCCCACAGGGTCTGGCTGGCAGTGTCGGGAGTGCAGGACCAGCCGGCCCCTTACAGGGTGGTCTCTGGAAGGCTCTGCAGGGCAGGGGCAGCGCGGTGGAGCGAGGCGTTGGCAGCCTTGCTGGGCCTGAAGCCTCAGGTGGCAGTGCTGGGCAGTGTGGCACAGCTGCCCATTCCCGTGTCTGCTGAGCCCCCCGGGCGTGTGCACGCAGGCTCACAGACATCCCCCACCGCGTGTCTGCTGAGGCCCCTGGGGGCGGGCACACAGGCTCCCTGACTTTCCCCTTTGCCCCCTGAAAGCACATCAAGACTTTGGCTACTTCTATGGGTCCAGCTACGTGGCCTCTCCGGATGGCAGCCGGACCCCCGGGCTCTCCCGGAACCGGGACGGGCTGCTGGTTGTTGAGCTCGACCTCAACCTGTGCCGGCAGGTGAACGACATCTGGAACTTCAAGGTGGGTCCCCGAGTGGGCCCCGGAGCCAGCTCGTCCTTAGGGCCAAAGCCCCGCGGCTGTTTGCCGGGATGCTCGGCGAGTGTTCAGGGAGAGACCGAGGGGTCCAACAACTACCACCTAAAAATAACCTACTGCCAGGGAGTCCATTCTGACCCACAGCGCCCCTAGAGGACAGAGTGGAACTGCCCACAGGGTCTCCCAGGCTGTCAGTCTTCACAGAAGCAAAGCC